TCCGTGACCTGACATGACCCGATCAATTTTTTTTCGGCAAAAGATGCGCAAAGGTTGCCCCATAGGGTATTGAAAATTTCAGCCCGCTACGACAAGCCGTTTAGCGTGCACTTCGAAAAAACCTCAGGGGGGGGTTGATACAACCCCCCCCCCCTAGGCGTTCTAGGGTTAAGTGAAGCCGAACAGCTGCCCCACACAGTCAAACAATACCGAATATGAGGACCGTTCTTACGGTGTCGGAGCACGAGTGTCATTTCTTTCTTATTTAGTTTTCACTTTGACCGCCTGAGCCACAGTATCGATCAGTCACTGCCACGTAAAACGTAAACGTAAAACGTTGACTTTTGTCAAGTCTTCGTTATTCGTAATGGCCGCCGCCACGCTAGCACAGTTACCAAGGCAGGTAATAGGTATTCATTGCACATTTATTTAGGCACTCTTACAGCATTTAACCCGCGCCCTGCTGGGGGGGGGTGTTTGAACACCCCCCTTGTGGTTTTTCGCAAATATCTCAAAAACGGCGGCGCGGAGCGCCGCCGTTTTTGGTACACCTTATCATACATCAATTCTACACATGTTGTGAAAATTTCAGACCAAGGTCATTCAAGGTCAGGTCACCAGGTCACTTGAAGTGACCTCACCTCATAAAAACTTTCAATGTCTGTCATAGCTACACCGAGTGACCGATCGCTTTAAAACTTTCAGCGATTGCTAAGAGCAATAACATGTACAAAATGTATATCTCAGAATTTTGATATCGATGACCTAAGGTCAGGTCAATTTTGCGACCTCCCCATTATAAGTCAATGGGAGAAAATTGAAATGCGCCTCTTTTGGATGAAAGACATTATAAAGACTCCCAAACACCGAATTACAAGTGGTTTAGACACACTGAACTTGAAAATGGTGTCCGTGACCCTTGTTTATGCCCTGAGGTCATCTTAGGTCACGATTAGTATCTAACAGTTTTTCGCAAATTACTTTTGATAGAGGCATGCTAGAGCGATGAAAATGCCTTAGATGTGTTCAGCTCGACGATACGGATCGACTGATATGCAACATGACCCTTCCCGGTCAGGTCATGACCTTGACCTGAGGTCAAATTTTCAAGTTGACCTTTCAAGGTCAAGTTATAGTTCATTCGATGCGTCTTGACGAGAGGAACACGATGCCGGTAAAAGTAAGCTCGTACAAGGCTTGGGTCAAAAGTTATTGCAGAAAAACTGTTTTCGAAAAAATCGGCTATTTTTGCAGTTTTTGCCCCCTGCAGGCAAAACCGTTGACGTTAGGTCAAATCTGAGAGAATTACTCAGAAAGGGCGTTAATAGGGCTATCGAATGCGCTTTTCCGCGGCGCTGTAGCTCTATTGGTTCCCGAGTTATGCGTTGGCTTCTTGGAAATTTTCGACATTCGACCTGGAAATCGGCGAAATTTCGCCTTCAATGACCTCTGGTGACCTGACCTTTGACCTGACCAAAAAATTGACCGAAGTGATTTCGTCATTATTTTTTACGCTCTTTCGAACGCCGCCTTCCGCGTATCGCTACGTGGCCCAGGAGCCGAGTTACAAGGGGGGGGGGTGTTCAAACACCCCCCCCCCAGCAGGGCGTGGAAATCCAGGACCCCCAGCAGGGCGCGGGTTAAACTGGGAACAGCAGTCAATAGTTCAGTGGTAGACACGTTGCGTCGCGGCAATAAATACCGCCTTATAAATAAACAAGCAATAACAGACCGACACAAACAAATAATATAACGCTAAAATATCTGTATCAAAACCTACGAACATGTTACAATCCACTCTGCACAATGAAAAATAATGCCAACGATAATACCGATACGGGGCCACAGGTTGCTTCTAAAACGCGATGCGGAAAGGCACTGCGAAAAAAAATTATTTGCTACGGCTACCTGGAAATGCCAATGTATCACTTCGAATAATTGTGATACATAAACGTTTAAAGTTCAAGGTTACATGCCGATAAGCGAATATTCGGTTGCATGTAGCGAGTCGTTGCAAGTCTTTAGATCCCGTCTCAACTCAACACGGAGTTATTAAGACGCGACATTTGTAGAAATAAAAGCATGGGCAACAACCATTCGTCCATTCCTTCAACTTTATGGGAAACGAGGCAAAAGTTTGAGTTAATACACTAAATGCAATGCCGCTCAGCTATAGATATCACTGATGCGTTCTTTGTAATGTCCTCGCATCCGTAACAAAGGATAACACTTCATGGATCAAAGTCGAGTCGAGGCACTATTTGAAGGCGCAGCGCGGAAAACTGACGTCACAACTGCGTCCATTGGTCGCCAGTGACGTCATACCAGCGCAGAGACTCGTCATTGGCTCTCCGGTAGTCTTCATCAGTACCCACGACAGCGGTAGACTGCGAACATATAGAAAGAATATTATAACACGGAGCTGGGTAAGTGATGAAAATAAACATTTCCGAACGCAAGGCGTGGAAAGCCTACAGCAATGTTTACGAATTGGTTGGTCGAGATCAGGCTACGTTCAATAAGCTTTGCCTAATACGGGACCTGCCACGAACACTTCCCTCTTCCCTCTTGAGCTACGCCTCGCCGTGCTGCATCCTGACACCGCCCTTGTTGTGAGTGTGACCTTTGACTCAGCTCAACTTCCTCACCTGAATTCGCCCTGCCCTGGCTCTATACACACGTCTTGCTCCGCCCCTGTGGCATGACCTGTCCCTGTCTGCACCCCTGCACCTTGACCCGGCTCCCCTTCCCCTTGGCTCCGTTTCTGCGCCTGGACCCGGCTCCCCTTACCCCTCGCTCCGCTCCTGCGCCTTGACCCGGCTCCCATTCCCCCTGGCTCCGCTCCTGCGCCTTGACCCGACTTCCCTTCCGCACAGTCCACACCTTGGCTCCGCCCGTGCACGTGACCTAGTTTCGCCCATTCCCCGCTCCCTGGCTCCGCCCCTGCGCCGTGACCTGACCTGGCCACGCGCACCACGTAGCTGTAGGGGTAGCCAGCTCGCTGCGCGCGGCTGTTGAGCCGGCAAAGCTGGTGGGGCAGACAGCTGGTGTCCTCAGAGACCAGGGTGGCCAACATGGCGCCTGCCAGCGCCAGTCCGCCGGGAACAAACTCGCCCTCTGGAATATGGCGAAAATAGACGCAACATCAGCTCCGGAATAACGGGATAGTGCTTACCGAGCACGTCTCTACGTCTGTCGGAAGAAAAATATAGAATTATCTTAGATATTCATGTTCTAGTTAGTACCGACTTGCAACCTACCAAACGCACTCCTGAGGCTGTCCGCTGTAGCAACATGCATCTTGCATGAGTGTGAAATGAATTGTTCAAATCTTAATTGTTATCGACTATATCGACTCACCTGCGCTATATTCGCTATCCAACGAGCGACCTCCACCTCCATTGGCTATGACCTGGGCCAAGGCGAAGGCGATGAGGGCTCCTAGCGCTGCGAAACCGGCCAGGGCCCCTGCTATCCCCGGGAAACACTCGCAGTCGCCGTCTCTGGACTCTGGAATCAGACGGGACAGGCAGACAATAAAAATTTAGATGTCATGCCTGCGTGCTGAAACGTTTGGGTTGCTTACAGGTAAGTTTTAAATTGCTATTTATGGCGTATAAAATAGCTTGCTATTGTAATCTGTAATTGCGCAGTGCGCAGTGACACGGAACGGGACGGTTAATCAATCACTACAATTATAGCAAGAGAAGGCCTACACATCGAGTTACAAGTAACGATCCTGATGTTCAAGAGCGTGAAACAACCGGTTATGTAATGGATAATGGCTTGAGAATGAATACGGGACTTTTTCCCACACGTGCGAAAATTATAAATGTCAAGTCACTGCAACGGCGTAAATGTTTCGAACGTATCGGCCGACAGAAATGCGTTCCCACGAACCACAAAAAAAAACAGCCGGGGGAGGAAGGAAGAGATAAATAAAAAGGGAAGAGGAACAACAACAAATAATCGCACAAGGATTCAGTTGACAGACAGACGGACGGTCAGACAGACGGACGGACGGACGGACGGACGGACAGACGAACCGACGAGCGGAAGGACAGACAGACGCCAAGAGGAGGGAGAGAAAGAGAGGGGAAGAGAGACAGAGACTCATCATCTGCTAGTACAACAAATGCAACACTGACGGTATCGCATCCAAAATCCCTCAGCAGCTGTGAGCAGCATTTTAGAACACTGTCCCGTCACTCCACTCACCTCCTTCCCTGTTCTCCACCACACTGATCTGCCTCCGCTCCATATCGCTGATGACGTCACAGGTCCGATCGACCGCCTTCAACGCAAACATCTCGGTCGGCTGCGGCACCATTTCTGCCATTATCTTCACAACTCCATCTGGCAGCCAGTTTAAACCAAGCGCCCGGCCGCCGCCGCCATTAATCAGCTGATTAATGAGAAACGTGGCGACCGCCGCTAGGGCGGCGCCACCGGCGATCAGTCCGATCAGGTCGTAGCCGGAACAATCGCAGGAGTTGTAGCCGTATCCCCCTCCGCCGTATCCCCCATAGCCGCCGCCGGAGGCAGCCGCGCTGAGATCCGGTCCTGAGAGAGCTCGACGCCAACGAGAAATGCCCTCGGGCGATTGGGTCAGGGCGGGTAGAGCTGCAGATTTAGCAGGAGAACGAACTCCGGGAAAGGTGGTGTCAAGTTGTTTTGAGTGTAAACCGAGAGATTCGCTTTTGAGGACGTGTGAATCGTGTCTACACTTGGCTGATATGACACTTATTTGCAAATGAAAGAGAAGGAATAGGAAGAGAGGTGTCACTAACTTGCCGTTCCTCCATGCTTCTGATGCCATTGCTTTGAAATGACAAAGAGTTTTACTCTTCGGAGCTTTTAAAGAACTTCTTATAAGCTATCTTCAACCTTTGTGGGCATAAGATGAACAATCTAGAACAGCTCGTTGTAAAAGGACGATGAACTCCTTTGAGCACCTGGAAAGGGAAAAAGATTAGTAAAATTAGCAGCGTGCCCGCCCATACCTACCTAACTATGTAAATCATTGCGATTGCATCATTGCATCCTTTTTCCTACAGCAATGTTCAATGAGGTCCAGTAAATTTTAGGATGAACGATCCAACTCCTAAACAGTTGGTAAAAAACGTTCAACTAGGTAATTACGGCCAATAGTTCGGACATCACATAATAAGTGACAGATAAGAAATATAAGCTGGCAACGTGGCAATATAAACTCGAATAAGGGAAATGTGCAAACCGACGTCTTCTTTGGACAGACTCTTTTTGTCTAATACCAAAAGAGATCTACGAGAGATCTCGTAATACCAATTCTTGGTCTTGGTCTTTTGGTCTAATACCAAAAGGTAGTACCGTTTCAGGGTCAGACTATGGGTTCGTAAGACATTAGGCTTACTAGAATTCACCGGCTGTTGCGCTGCAGCGGACGGCCCCGTCCCGTGATACAGGCGTGCAATGGGCAAGCCATCCAATCGTTCAAACGGTCACTCGGGACACGGGAAGAGTATGCTCATTGCTCCTACTGAATCAGTCTTTACCGGTTGTCGTGCGGTGTGGTATCGTGATAAGGATGAGCTAGTCCTGAAGATCACAATAACATTACAGATAGTCACAGCTCACTAATTTTACAGCCACCCACCATTACAACTCACCTCAATTACCGCTTGAACTACCACAAATCAACCACAAAACTACCAAAAACACCACAATCACCAGCGTGCTTCTCCTCACCCGACAATCCTCCAACTGCTCACCGCCTCCAGACGTCCACTGATGGCTACTCCGGACTCTCCCAGCTCCACAGACCTTCTCACTCTGCCAGCCAACCGCCACCGTGGACAAATCGACCCGAAAAATGACGCCGAAATTCTGCACATCACTGTCTCACCGTTACGGTGGGATCTCCTGAACGGAGGAGCCACTCACGGGAGCTGACCGTGCGTTCTGGTCCGGTGATCATCAAAGACTGGCGGAAGTTGAAGTGGGATGGTGCCTGCTGAGGGTTTGGGAAACCGGCCATTAGCTAGGTTAAGTTACACTCGTTGCTAATCTATTACATGTTGCATTTCTACTGAACGAAGTCATGTAAACTCTAGCCCAGGCTAAAAACTCGTTCTTTGCCCGATACTCACTAACGCTGACGGCGCCTAACGCTGGTCCACTGAACTCTATAATGCACTGGTCCCATCGTCCCTTTATCGATTGCTAGAACGTTGCGCTTCTCTGTCATCTTTCGACCATCGGTACCATTTTGCTTTGTTTAAACACAAACACTCCATTTATTTTACACAAATAAATTATGTGCAAGCTCACTACATCACAGGGTAATTGAATCCACGTAGCTATTATAACATCATCAAAAACAAACGTAGGGGTAGGTAATTCGCCGAAGATGCATAGTTGCAGGAAATACCAGCACACGCGTTCCTTCACACTACACAATATAGATCACATCGGATGAGCACTTGCTCATCCCAGTTTGTAGGTTATCCTCGCAAATGAAGAGTCCTCGCTCATCCTCATCTTTACCCCTTATCTCCTCACGTGACTCCTAGGATAAGTTCTTGCTCATTCTTATCCTTTCGTTGATCTCGCGGATTTCTTTGCAGAACCCTAGAAGAGCCAGTACTGCCGTCGATAGGCTATTGTTCAGACGCGCGGTAGACTGGAAGAAGATCCCGACGACAATCTCTGAAAGCGAAAATACATACATTTATGCTAAAAATACATATAATTCAGATTAATGTGAAGTTTTTCGCTTGAAATGACGATGTAAACGTCTACGAAACAGAAACTGGTGGCAATAAATTATCATTGTGTATGCTAAAAGCCTAGAACATCATAATATCGCCTATTATTATCATTACACCAATGGACAACGCACTTTAACGCATTCTCTTATACCTACATATGTCATTGAGAGACACATTTTACATCTCAGTCGGACATCAACCTATCCTGGCTTGATCTCCGAGTCACGCACTGGCACTAGGTCAAACCATGCACACGCGTCAGAGCATTAGCCATGCTCGACGAGCTTGCCGTCGTGTCCCCCCACCCCCATAACCCAGCCAGACTGTTTTAAGGCCCTTCCCAACCTCATCTAGGGCGCTCGTGCCAACGCGTCGCTCGTCACACCGGGTCACGTGACCCTGTCACGCGTGACGTCATGCGTCACGCTGTGTTCGTTCGCACGAGTCAGGATTCACGCGTGTTCACCAGAGCATGTCGAAAGGCCCTATTTGCGGTCGGTGGCTGGCTGGAAGATGGCGCTAGTATTTCGCGAGGCCAGGCCATGGACTAGCCATCTGGATCAACCGTTACGTCACGTTCATGCACTTTGTCGCCTCTGAGTGTAACTCTTCTTCATAGATGCTACAGATTCTACACAAATGAACCAATGAACTTTGTAGTAAAGCGGTCGAGAAGCAATGCCGAATATCTCCCTCAATTTTGCAATAGAAAGATTTTGTAATGATGTCATATGCGGTCTGTTCGTCAGTCTATATGTGCCCCCTCTCTCTCTCTCTCTCTCTCTCTCTCTCTCTCTCTCTCTCTCTCTCTCTCTCTCTCTCTCTCTCTCTCTCTCTCTCTCCTCTCTCTCTCTCTCTCTCTCTCTCTCTCTCTCTCTCTCTCTCTCTCTCTCTCTCTCTCTCTCTCTCTCTCTCTCTCTCTCTCTCCTCTCTCTCTCTCTCTCTCTCTCTCTCTCTCTCTCTCTCTCTCTCTCTCTCTCTCTCTCTCTCTCTCTCTCTCTCTCTCTCTCTCTCTCTCTCTCTCTCTCTCTCTCTCTCTCTCTCTCTCTCTCTCTCTCTCTCTCTCTCTCTCTCTCTCTCTCTCTCTCTCTCTCTCTCTCTCTCTCTCTCTCTCCTCTCTCTCTCTCTCTCTCCTCTCTCTCTCTCTCTCTCTCTCTCTCTCTCTCTCTCTCTCTCTCTCTCTCTCTCTCTCTCTCTCTCCTCTCTCTCTCTCTCTCTCTCTCTCTCTCTCTCTCTCTCTCTCTCTCTCTCTCTCTCTCTCTCTCTCTCTCTCTCTCTCTCTCTCTCTCCCTCTCTCTCTCTCTCTCTCTCTCCTCTCTCTCTCTCTCTCTCTCTCTCTCTCTCTCTCTCTCTCTCTCTCTCTCTCTCTCTCTCTCTCTCTCTCTCTCTCTCTCTATATATATATATATATATATATATATATATATATATATATATATATATATATATATATAATATATATATATCTCTCTCTCACCGCTAAGACTCTGCTGTCTTGCCCGTCCGTCCGCGCCACTGAACTCCCCAATCGCATGTGTGACGTCTTTGATGACGTCATGGGAGACACGGTGGATACCCGGTGGCTGACGTTTGACGAATTAGGCGGAACTGAAAGAGAAGAAAAATCCCAGTTATTTCTACGATGATTCCAGATGAATTAACAAATGTACCGAGATATAGATGTTGCAATGTCCGGAATCTTTTTTTATATTGTCCAAACTCCAAATGGATTGCTGTGGGCCCGGCTGCTCCGCTAAGCAGGGCTTGACGCAAATGACATCATGGACCCACTACCTGATTTTGCCCTACATCCCGTCCTGGGTATAATTAATAATAAAGACGCCAAAATCTCCCCATTATCATTTTTTTTCAAAGAAAAATTAAACCGAAATGCATCTGCCGATAGCGTTTGTTTACCTGTTTGCTGTAGCGAAGGCAGCGTAACTCGAGGGTCCTCCGCTTGGCGGCGCTGCTGTATAATCTCGGCCAATGTAGGCCTCGGATTTGCCACCAATGACGTCATACCTCCAGTGACGTCACCAGTAGTGACCAATGCACTCTTCTGAGCTCGCTGAACAGAAGTGGTCGTTTTCGAGTCAGGAGCCGTTGCCTTGCTTCTGAAACATTGAAGTATTTTGTTGTAGGTAGTTTGTCTCTTGTTAAATTATTTATTTGAAATACGTTTTTAAAGTCTCCAACCGTCACTAAATAATTATCGGAACATAATATTTATTATAATAAAGGTAGGCAAATACAGATGTTAATAAAGATGCGCACTGATTTATAGCATACGCCCTATAATATTCTAACCAGTCGCAAACCGTTTATTTCACCGTTTTCTCACCTTCCCAATCCCAGGATGCTCCAGCCGGCCAGGCCGTCCTTGACCCAGCCGTGTGACGTCACTACTGGCTGGGCCGGTCGACCAATAGGCGGGATCGGGGGCGGAGCCAAACTGTGACCGGTCGTCCTGCCGACTTCAGTCGACGGTCGGATCGGTGGATTTCTGTGGATTAATCACCATCAAAATTAGAGAAGCATCAATTTGTAAACTAAGGACACATTTAAAGGGAGATAATGAGCTTTCTTTTTTCTTAAATAAAAATTACTCGACATCTATACTATTTCTACTGTAGTTTCTATAAAATATGAAAATTTCCTAGCACATTTTCGTATGTGAAAAAGGTTTTTATTTTTGCAAAAAAGAAGCAGTACTTGCAGTACTTGTAACACCCACCGAAATGCGTTGTCCTTCTCTATAAAAAAGTCGCAATATATGGCGCTTTTGTTTCAAACAGCGACGCTTGGGTTTTTGTTTATGTTATTGCCTTGTCGTTGCTTGGTTGTAAGGATTCTAATTTGAATTAGAGTTAATTCGGTTTAGAATTAATTAGATTCTAATTCGTGGGTACATAGTGCCTAGAGAAATGACACTGTTTACATTATTTTGCGCCACAAATGAACGGCATGCGCCAGAAACGCAGCCAAATCTTGCGATTGCGACTACGAAATTCATTATTTTGACGTCAGAGCCTGAAGCGAAAAATACAAGCATATTTATTTCAAAAAGACTTCAGGTTTGTCGAACGGTGTTATGAGAATTTTGATAACAGTACTGCATAAGTTTTTCAGTGATGCCGCAAAAGTGTTGTATCTATCTTCTTTTATTGTGCAGTCGGCGGGACCGATTCAAAATTGAGTCGTTGCTACTAAAATAGCAGCATATGGCGTCAGATGATGAACAGGAAAAATAGTTGCGTAAATTTAGACAGAAACCACCCCCAAACCATGAATATCTTTTGAAGGCACTATAGACGATCATTAACTAACTAGATGTGATGAAGATCAAATGTAAGGAATACGCTCATTTTACAAAATTACATGCAAGTACCAAAAAGTGATGTAAGTACTTATTCAACGGTCATTTTCAGCGCTCCCCGCTAACGTGACTTCAAGTTGAGATATTTGCGGCAAGGTACCGAACTGAGCAAAATGGTTTTAATTTACATTATAACTTGTTGTGTTTTGTCAGAAAATGGTCCTAACTCAGATTTTGTGGAAAAAGGTCATTATCTCCCTTTAAGAAAAAGCAGCACTGCTATTCTTACGAATTGTCTGTGCAATATACCAAGTAAAGGCTTAGTTGCGGAGCCTTAAGGTGAGCTTATATGCTTCCTATTATGTAAATGAAAAAAATGTTTTAGATAAGATTACTCACAAATAAAGATCATTTTCCACCTGAGTATCGTTTGTCGTTCGCAAATAAATCCGATGCCAAAAATGCAGCGCCAATAACTTCATCGTGCAACTTACCTGTTTTCGATATCCTTCCCGGTGAAGAACTTGTCGTCGATTTTCTTCTTCAAAGTAGTGATATTCCCAAGTTTTCGAAGGGCTGCAGAAGTAGAGAACTCCTAGAATTGGGAGGGGGAGGGGAGAATAAACAAAGTTAACTCCTGCCGTCCAAGTATAACACTAATCAAATGACCACCGTCCACATTTCATTAGGCCTTCTAAGGGCGTTTTAAGTCCCTTTCCTTTGCATTGTATTTTTATTAGTACCTAGTACCTACCTTCGACTTTGATTATACATATTGGTCTCTTTCAGTGCATGGGGGATAAATATCATATTTGATATTTTCCTACATATAAGTATTATAATCACCTGTTGCGCTTTCCTGGAAATTTCCTGAGTGTGGGTGGCGGCGTACTGGTTTTGCGTGAAAAACTCCAGCTGAAGTAGTGAGCTGCAGTCGGGCCGCTGAGCCGGGTCCATCACCAGACATGCCTGGGATTGAGACAGGGCAGGGGAAAACAAAATCATTGCCAACGTTTGTGACTGCAAGCAGCTTTTTTAAATAGATGTTCTCAATAATATTTGTGCGACTATTGCTCCAGGAAAGAGGTAACGGTTTTGCTTGGCGTCGTTACAATAATGTTCTCTTAGGAAACAATAAATATTCATTGAATTAAGATTTCCTTTTGGAATTTCGCGAGAGTATTTATGCAGTTGCACCGATTTTCGCTGCAAGGACAGACACTTGGGATTATCTTAGCTGCCTCGTTTCTCGCTTGCCTTTTACAGAAATTGGGGTGCGAGTGAGGTTAAAATGTTGTTCATATAAAATCATAGATTATACGAGCTATGTTATCACTTTAATATCCCACTGTCAAATATGTTTTCCATCACTGCAATGCAAAATACACATTACCCAAATCGATGCAGAGACCATAATTTAGGTCTGTACACTGTACAGCCTAAATGTCTGCATTACCATTGTGCAATCACCCCAATAGCAGCGTTGTACGCTACAATTCCTAGAACATCAACACGACTGATTGCGTCACAGTCGCAGCGCTCAGTAACTGCTGTTTGGCACGAGCTGGTATAAAACTGACCGGCTGGCTACAGTATCAACAAAGCTGCACTATTGCCACTATTGAACCATGTTGCAACCGGGGCTGGCACGCCAAGGAGCGGCGTGCTGGTCTGTAGTTCCAAAATGAAGTAGTAGTAGATGGTGTGTGTGGTTTGGAGGTTATTTTTCACGCGTTGTGGTTATTTAATTATGCAACAGATAAAATATATAGGTATTTACATTAGTGAACATAGTCACACAGCTTGGCCGGCGAGCAAGAGGGATTGCAAGCACTGAAATCGTCTATAATTTCAACGCATTATGCATACTTGAAAAACGATTCCAATTATAAAATCGTTATCTGCTTGATTTTCGAGAGCGTTCAAATCAATAAGCCATTTTTTCGTCTTAGATCGACTGCACACTCCATTGTCGACATTTTCGGCCAACAGACTGTAATCAGCAATTGGGACAAGGGTCAACCATTCTGATAGCCCCAATAAGCCCCAGTTGGAACCACCCACTATACTAACGCGGGGAAGTTGGCACAGCACGCTACTCTAGTGCCGGGAGGTTGGTACAGCCGCTAATCTAATACTGCGAAATTGGCACAGTACGCTACTATCTAATACAGGGAAGTTCGAACAGTACACTAATCCAATACTGCGAAGCTGGTACAGGACCTACCTCGAGTAGCTGCAGCTGCGGCGCCGGCCAGGAGGGGAATTTCTCGCCGAACAGGGGTCGTCCCGTGCCCCTGAGACGTAAGCCGTGGGCCACGGCGCCGTGACCTAGACGTAGCTGGTGAGCGGGGCAGAGAGGACCTGCCGGAAATGCACAGATTCAGTCAGAGCGAAAACGGAGAAAATATCTCAGGAAACGATGCAGGGAATGCGTGGATGAGGCGGAAAGAACACATCCGGTACTTACTGTCGGGAACTGGCAAACAGACATCGTATATTGCCTGTTAGTGGAACACCAATAGTTCTTCTACTTGAGTCTTTTTTTAATACCGCTAGTTTTATTAGTCTGTCTATCCCAAGGTCATGGGGAGGTAAAACAAAGCCCAACCCAAATTCACAATTCACGTAAATAAATCCTCAACCTTTGCTGTCGGTCATTGCTATAAAACAAAAACGGGGACACCGTCGGCCAATCGAGCCGCAAATGGGGGTCACTCGGTCAGGCCTATTGACTGTTTGCTCTGGTTGCCCTAGTAGCAGTAATAGCTGCAGCAGCCACAGTGCAGCGGAGGCCTGGGGTAGGTGTGAAGACGCGGGTCGATCGAGGGTCGAGGAAGGCTAAGGAGAAACACTTGGTGCTAGATATCTTGCGGTAGATTACGTTATGTAAAAAACGCCCAATGAAAACAATCAACTTCAAAACTAATGACCTGACGCCCAAATCGAAGCTTATGAGACATTAAAGTAACCAATTATTAGTCTGATATTCGATGCATGACTCCACAATGACTTTGATAATGCAATAACAGTGAAGGATCAGATACCCGTCATAATTACTTTAATTTGGGTTTTTGTTGTAAATACACGACAACCACTCAAAACATGAACGATGCAAAAATATCTGTTCAAAATTAAAAAATCAACTCAGTGCCGCTTTTGGAGTCCAGTCTCCCTGTCCCAGTGAACTGAACTGAGGCCATCCCTGCGTGACTGTCGTCGTGCAGTGACTCGCACGTTACTGCAGTGAGACAGGTGACATTCCGTTCCGGTTCACTGCAGTGACCGTTGGTTCGTACTGCGGGCCGCCCATCTGCGCTGAACTGAAGCGGAACGAAGTACTGGAAGGTAGACTGACCCGCAATGCACCGGTGCTTTACGGGATAGTCTAACTAGTCAAGAGACGGGGCTTGGTGTTTGGATTTTCTCGTTTACCGCGGATGTTTTACCTACCTTTTTTTCTACGTTTTTAGTTTTTACCTACCATTTTACCTACGTCTTTTTAAGTGGCTCAGCCACTTTGAATTACGGAAGATAACAAAGCGCCAATTTTCTGACTGACAAAATGCCAGTTTCTTTTCACCTGAGTTGTGGAGCGAATCACATCTGTTGTCATTGAACTTTGTCTGCACGCTATAAACGCAATATTGTAATATAATATTAACTGGCGTCATTATCACGGCTTGCTACCCTGTTTTCACACCATCATTTGCTCCGGACGGGGAGGGGCAGGGAGAGGGTCGCACGCTGCGCTAGCTGTATTGATCTTCCTACTGGAATCGCGCCCCAATTGCAGGGTATGCACAATTGATCACGGTCGACACGGTCTACCTTCACGGCGTACACAGGCCATTCGTCAAAACAGGGAGTGGTGAGGTGAACAGCCCGATAGAGTGTGTGTAACCTTGAAGGGTCGGTGTATTGAATTTGATTTGATACGGGACTACGGAGCAAAACATGCGGTAGAATTCAAACAGTAATTTTCTAGACGAAGCCAAGGAAATTCACAGTGACTGCCTCCAAAAAGGGTGCTACAAACACAAACTTTGGAAGGCCTGAACCCAATGGTCAATACAAAAAGAGTCAAATAATGCTACATTAGCGGAAAACGTATATCATTACATTCTCTCCGTCCATGGTGTGTCGTTTCGGGAACTAGCGACCCGCGGCCGGGCGGCGCGGAGAGGTGCCCGCCATAGGGTTTTGGGGCTATTTTTTCACGTTTCGGACTGAATCGTGAAAAGTATTGGTCGTAGCAAATATGTTCCCTGGTTTCTGAATTTTCAGCCCACGTGGAATGCGATAGGACAAGAGTCATTTTCGCACAGACAAAACTGTGCCCGCGTTTTTTGGTCAAAGTAAAAATGTTCAGCAGCTTTTAACACGTGGGCCGCCGCAAAACAGGGTACACCGGAGGACTTAAGATTCAATATCTCCTAAACCATCATAGATAGCAAATATGTTCCCTGGATCTATGTAGATAAGACTTTAGAGAACACTCCAGGCCAAAAATTGTTTCTCGACAACTTACACTCAGCCCGCGTTTTTGGCTTAAATGCAATGCAACACGGCAGCCGACCTTTAGGGCTCAGTTAGCGAGTTTATTTTTTAGCGAGCACTTGGAGCATTTCAGCGTTCGATGAAATGACATATTTTTTCAACGCAGTCGTTTCTTTATTTGCATCTAAACGCGACCTATATGATAATGTGGCGGTATCGTCACACTAGAACTTGTGTAATTCATCGTAATTTATAGGGCTAATTCTCGGCGCACAGCAGCAGACGGACACCGACTGACCCACCATCTAAAGGCAGTTTGGCGAAGCAGTATCGTGAATCACAGCCACGAGATGTCCCTAGCGTAGAACACCGTCTGTTTGCCCAGTTTAAATGCGTGATGTTTGCCCTCTGTCAACCCCTCAGTCATGGGGCTGGGGTCGCGGATGAATGGGCGACCGCCCGCCGCGCGGGGAGGGGGCTGCTCCCCTGACCCGGACCGCCGCGGCGTGGGGACGGTCCCGCACTCGCGTGCCTCACGTCGCCGCCTCACACCGGTCAATTAAGCTGGTTTTGAGGAACCGCCCATTGTGATGGTGGATGATCCAACGCAGACCATGCCAGAAGTCAGAACCCCACTGAAGGGGTGTCACCCGTGTCAGCTGGCTCAGACCCATGATATCCTGTAGCCCCTGCGTGTACCGCCGGTCACCGCTAGGCGCGTTTACTTCCACCGGTCACCGCTAGATGCTGTGAACCGCGAGTTTCAGTTTTTCTAATAGATGTCGCTTTTACCAGTCTCGAAATTGCTAAAGCCTTTGATTAAGTTGTGCGCCCCCCTTTTTAACGTTCCGTTCGCTTAAACTGCTGTATTGTTTGGACAATTGTATTGGCAATGTGTATATTGAAAACCATATGTATTCGTTTATTACATTCGATGTTCTCGCCACATGTGTGCAATACTAGATAACTAAGTTCGTATGTAAAACTATATATGTCTCGATTTTGTGGCGAAATACAAGAGATATCTGTATGTTACAGTGTTTCTACTGGCTACACCAGCCAGATTGGTGACCCCGCGTTCTACGCACCATGGGATCGCTATCCCCTCGTGTTCCCAGTCACACCGACACTGGCCTGCACCCTGAGCTATCTCCTCCAGCTCTCTTTGTGTAGGAAGGAAGTGGCGGATGGTGTGTCTCCACGAGGATCCTTTTTTGTGCTGTGTGGAACTGGAAAACGCCGACTACTACAGCTGCACTACGGACCAGCTACTTCATCGGCTTCATCGACTACCGTCCGGCTACCTCTGCAGCTGCACCGCAGCACCTGGCGATCGCCGGATCGCCGTCGCCGCCACCGATCTTCCCGACCATTGCTCTCGGCAGCCATGGACCAGAAGACCCAGCCTGCCGGCGCCGGTGCAGCCGCCGGAGCCGGTGCAGCCGCCGGCGCCGGTGCAGCCGCCGCCGCCGCCTCGCATGCCGCTGCTGCTGCTGCTGCCGCTGCCGCCCAACCGGACTACCTCCGCGTGGCGACCGCGCCACGCAGCCACGTCGCGCCGCCGCGCTTCTTCGAGGAGGACCCCGTGATCTGGCTCGTCCAGCTCGACCTCTTCTTCTCTCAGGCAGCTGTGGACGATGAGCTCAGCCGCTTCCGGATCGCCGCTACTCTTCTTCCTGGCCACCTCCTGCGCGACTTCACCGACATCCTCCGCAACCCTCCTCAAGACCGACCTTACACCATCCTTTCCGACGCCATCCGTCAGCGGTTCGGCAAATCAGTCGAACAGCGTCTTCGCTGCCTGCTCTCTGGCCAACAACTCGGCGACAGGCGTCCTTCCCAATTCCTTCGGCATCTCCTGGACCTTGCTGAAGCTGAAGGCTCACAAGATTCCCCGCTCATCCGTCAGATCTTCCTCAATGCTCTTCCGCCTCGGACTCAGCCCTTCCTCCAGTGCCTGCCGCCTGGGACGGACCTTGCGACCATCGCTAGCACTGCCGACCGACTCCTGGAGCTTCCGCAGCAGTCGGACGTCGCTGCACCTACCTCAGGCCTTCTCGCCGCGGTATCGACTTCTGCGCCTGCTGCAGCCTCACCTGCTGCTCCTGCAGGACCCTTCCACCTCCAAGACCTGATGAGCCAGCTGCTGACTGGTATCACGGCCCTCACAACATCAGTCGCCACACTGGTGGACGAGACGCGCCGCCGAGAGAGATCAGCATCCCGTGCCCCCGGCCGCGCTCGCCACCGTCCACCACGCGACCTGTCTGCTGCTGCTGCCCGGTCACCCAGCCCTGCAACCAACACATCTACCGGCGCTGGTGCTTCCTACTGCTGGTACCACCACAAGTTCGGTACCAACGCGCGCTCATGTCAGTCACCGTGCTCGTGGTCTGCAACCGCAACTCAGGCCTCGGGAAACCAGCAGTAGGACAGGTGACACAGACGTCTGCACCTGCCCTGCTCAACCCTGACGTCCCTCCAGCCAGCGGCCTTCTGAGACTCAAGGACAACAACACTGGCATCACCTTCCTCATCGACACTGGAGCTGAGTACAGTGTTCTTCCAGCGACACCCACCGATCGTGCTCGCGGAACCAACGGACTGGATCTGCAAGCAGCCAACAACAGCAGCATCCAGACCTATGGTCAGCGCATGCTCACGCTTTCTCTCGGACTCAGAAGAGATTTCAACTGGATCTTCATCATCGCGGACGTCTCCCATCCTCTCCTAGGAGCCGACTTCCTCTCCTCGTATGATCTCCTCGTCGACACTAAGAGAGGCCGTCTCATCGACCACCTAACTGAGTTGTCTTCACCTGCTTCCCACTCTTCAGTGCCATCCACCGGACTGACAGCCGTCGT